GACACTGTGGCCAGTCAGTAGCCAATATAGTTTCATACAAGTGAGGGAGAGGTCTTGACAAAAGTTGCATTCTGAAAGAATTGCAGTGGACCTTGTCAGAGGGCCTGACGCACTTGGTCCAATTATGAGGGTATTCAAGACTCAGCAGTGTGGTACATGGGACACGTATAGAATCGTATCTGGACACAGATTATACATTGAAAAATTATTAATGGTGTATGTAAAACTTTCCTCGATATATTATGTCTTTTCAGTAATTAAACTTCAAATCACACCCGTTTCTCAAGGCTTTTGATTTTGATTTTGAGTTAAATAATATTTAGGATTCAGGGGAGCGCAATGAGACTCAGAGGGAAAAATTACGTAATAAGCGCCCAGGGCGCTCTCGAAATTAGAAATAGGGGGCTCTTATTAGAATATTATTTTTGTGAAAAAAACACATGAGTGAGTAATATGCGCAAATAAATGTCCTGTGTACATTGATCAATCGGAAGGGGTGCTAATTAGGATTGTTCACTAGCCAATATCTTAGCAAATGTTGCCGTGGGCGCTTATTACGTCGAATACGGTAAGTGGTGTTCTAGATTTATGTGCACTTCTGCACTCAAGCTTCATCAAAGGAACAGCATGTCTGATTATTATCACTGAAGCAGGCTTTCAGCATCTTCAAGAGGGAACATGCTAACCTGCTGGGAATCCTGGGCAGATAGAGGGAATTTAACTCTTAGAGGTAACCATAGGGGTGGTAGTTATTCTTATAGGCAAAAAATCAGAAATGTAATGAACATATTAAAAACATACAAAAATAAAAAACAATGGTTATTTATGTAAACCAAATGACTAAAACAATTTGTCTTGCGTTGTTCAAACATTGTTTGAATTCACACCTCAACAGTACATCCCCCAAAGCTCTGCGATGCTAACCACAGACGTATATATCTGTCTCAAGCCTTCAGTACCCTCAAAAGGGTAATTCAAATAGACGTTTATCATAATGCCATCTTGTAAAACACTGCTTGTCCATCTCCCAGACCCTGGCGAATATATTTCAAATGGAATCTAACTACAGTCTAGGTGTTCTGAGTGAGTGAAGACTATAATAGACAGGAAAGTCTACACAGGAATCCAACTACAGTCTAGGTGTTCTGAGTGAGTGAAGACTATAATAGACATGGAAGTCTACACAGGAATCCAACTACAGTCTAGGTGTTCTGAGTGAGTGAAGACTATAATAGACAGGAAAGTCTACACAGGAATCCAACTACAGTCTAGGTGTTCTGAGTGAGTGAAGACTATAATAGACAGGAAAGTCTACACAGGAATCCAACTACAGTCTAGGTGTTCTGAGTGAGTGAAGACTATAATAGACAGGAAAGTCTACACAGGAATCCAACTACAGTCTAGGTGTTCTGAGTGAGTGAAGACTATAATAGACAGGAAAGTCTACACAGGAATCCAACTACAGTCTAGGTGTTCTGAGTGAGTGAAGACTATAATAGACAGGAAAGTCTACACAGGAATCCAACTACAGTCTAGGTGTTCTGAGTGAGTGAAGACTATAATAGACAGGAAAGTCTACACAGGAATCCAACTACAGTCTAGGTGTTCTGAGTGAGTGAAGACTATAATAGACAGGAAAGTCTACACAGGAATCCAACTACAGTCTAGGTGTTCTGAGTGAGTGAAGACTATAATAGACAGGAAAGTCTACACAGGAATCCAACTACAGTCTAGGTGTTCTGAGTGAGTGAAGACTATAATAGACAGGAAAGTCTACACAGGAATCCAACTACAGTCTAGGTGTTCTGAGTGAGTGAAGACTGTAATAGACAGGAAAGTCTACACAGGAATCCAACTACAGTCTATAATGATTTGGCAAGTCTTTCCTCGGTCTAGGCCTGATATTTGTCCTTGGCTCCATTTGGACTATATTTATTATTTTGTAGATATATTATTTTGAATGAGATAACTTTATTTCTTGGGACTATATGTCATCTAAGACACTGCTTGACTGCCTCGGTGACCCCGGGCCTCCCACTATACACATTGCTTGTGTGGAAAGACACACGAGTTGCCTCAACCAGCCCCCAACCACCAGAACCACAGTCTGCTACAGAAGGCCTAGACTTGCACAAGTCTCTAAGGCAATAATTATTAGTTTAACATTATGTTAATAATAAGAACAAGTTGTCCCTATTAGAGACTAGGGGGCGGTCGGGTAGCCTAGTGGTTAAAGCGTTCGCTCGTCATGCCGAAGACCAGGGTTCGATTCCCAACATGGGTACAATGTGTGAAGCCCATTTGTTGTGTCCCCTGTCGCGATATTGCTGGAATATTGCTAAAATCGGCGTAAAACACTACTCACTCACTCACTATTAGAAACTGGAGTCCTTAGACTGTCCACATATCTAGACTTGCCTATTAGGAGGATAGAATTACTACACATCCATGGACTTGTCTTTCAGGACAGCCTTGGAGCAAGGCTACAGAAGGCCCATATCACTTGATTATCTCTGCAGTAGTAAGCCCTGGAGGCAGAACTTCAGATGGGAAGAGGCTATTGTGGGGGACTGAAGCTATTATTGATGTTTACTGATCAGGTTTAGTGTAAGTGTGGGTATCAACGTGTCCACTCTGAGCTATTACGTCTCAACCTGATAATACAGGTGTTTGCAATTCTGTTAAGAGTTGCAACTTACGAGAACATATTTTCAGCAGCTGTTACCCTTTTGTACGTTTTACAGAGCTTAAATCTAACGTGATGAGGCTGCTCTGAGTATCCTCCACTTTAGCAGTGACTATTATTTAGGGAATAGAATCTGATTATATTCATTTAGTTGGCTGGGGCCTTTCGTTATGGTGCTGCTGTGTGGTTTGCTAATATAACTGTAGGTTGTTAGGTACACGGAGAGTCTTTGTCAGTATAAGGTGTTCAAGACTATAATAGACATGAACGTCTACGCAGTCAACACTTGATCGAAGCCTGAATAATAAGAAGTGTCTATTGAGCTTGTTAACATTGCTGATGTCCTTAAGTGTTGAAGGGTGTTTTTTAAACAATATTGATTATTTGTAAGTTGATTAAAGTTTACTCCCCTTAGAGAAAGAGTCGCAGAGAGAGGGAGAGAGAGAGAGATAGAGAAAGAGGTTTATTGCTGCTTTCAACAGACTTTCATTTATGTCAACTTGATGGATAAAAGAGGAACGGCCAAACCCATATTAAGCAGATCCCGTCACAGCAAGGGGATGTAACTTTGTAGTGTCTAAGATCACTTTCCAGTCAGTATGACCAACATTACTGAGTACATTATCATGTTTGGTACACCCAACCTTTCTTACTGTTAAAGCTCATAATGGCTTTCTGTTGACCTTCACCTTGTAGGTCTCTTATCTCTATTGATTATACCTTGCCTGAAATGCAAGATGGTGCACCACTGACACCCAGAAGCATGTTTCCTCCTAACCTTTTTATCTTTGCTCTTTTACCCATATGGTTACAAAACAACTACAAAATGTGCCAAGTGCGAGAATAATGATTTTTTAATTTCCTGATCTACTTGTTCATGTTCGTCAGGAAGAGATGCATGTAGATCAAGTCGGATAAGTTAAAGTTTAATGTGTATGCTAATTTTAACCACTATCCAATTTCTTTTCAGTGTCGCTGTTTTAGTTATCTTTAAAACTATTTAGTTTGAAACATGTCGTGATTAATATGCATTGGTGGTGGATTTCATCAGTTCAGTGTTGGAGAGAATGGCGTGTATCAGCACTTACACGATTCCCATCTGTATCCTGTCATACAAACTGAGTGAGGTCAATACACTGTGGTGGTGGTGGTCCCAGAGACACCGTGCCAGAACCTAGGCAGGATCTAGCTCCGACATGGCCAATTGCTTCAGTTTTTCCATCAGGCAAGCTTTTTCATCCTCTGAAAAAAAAAGCTGAAAAACAATATTATTTTTTCTGAATATCCAACCATTATGACCACTGTGATACAACATGAATATCTAACCATTATGACTGCTGTGATACAACATGAATATCCAACCATTGTGACTACTGTGATACAACATGAATATCCAACCATTATGACCACTGTGATACAACGTGAATATCTAACCATTATGACCACTGTGATACAACATGAATATCTAACCATTGTGACTGCTGTGATACAACGTGAATATCCAACCATTATGACCACTGTGATACAACATGAATATCTAACCATTATGACTGCTGTGATACAACATGATTATCCAACCATTATGACCACTGTGATACAACATGAATATCTAACCATAATGACTGCTGTGATACAACATGAATATCCAACCATTATGACTGCTGTGATACAACGTGAATATCTAACCATAATGACTGCTGTGATACAACATGAATATCCAACCATAATGACTGCTGTGATATAACATGAATAGCCAACCATTATGACCACTGTGACACAACATGACTACCACTGAGTGTAATCCAGGTCTCTACCTCGACCTATGACACCATGATCTAGAAGTAATGACAGCGTTAGACATTGGCACTAGTCCTGTAGTCCTTGCCAAACTGCCCAGTAGTTACGGTATCATAAGGACCAGTAGACATTTGTCATTTTTACGGGTTTTGCTATATGTTATCATTATAACGACTAGTGGTTCAAGGGGGCACGGGTGGCCCCGTCGTCTAAGGCGCCGCGATTCGCTGTGCAGAGTTGCGTCCCTTGGGCACGCCAGAAACCTATGATTGTGGGTTCGAATCCCGGTTCGCCCTGATTATGTTTCTAGGTTTGTCAGCACCATACCTGTGGGTTTCACCGAAGTGGTAAACGTCTGAGACCTGTATCACTTCGGGCTTTCCTCCCACATTAAGCTGACACGCCGCGATATAACTGGAATACTGTTAAAAGCGGCGTTAAACCCAACTCACTCACTCACTCACTAGTGGTTCAAACCTGTTAGTTTCTGCCGCTGAATGATTCCTTTTTGTTTCAGGATCATCATCCTGGGCATCATCCTTGGTGTGGTGGACTTCGAGAGGAAGGTGGCGTGCACCCAGGACCTCCACGACCATGTCCTGGGCTACCTCATCATACTGTCTGTGTGCTTCTTCATGGAGCTGCTCATCGCCATCATCAGCATGCGGGGCGGCATCCTGGACAACCACCCACGACGCAGCATGCAGTACCTGCTGTACCTCAGACTCAGTGTGTACCTTTTAAAAATATACCTACATTCATTTATAAGACTTAATAAATAAAATCTTTGTTCTCAGGCACCGCTCGAATCATCATAAAGTCTGCCGCACGTTTCATTTTTATTTCTGTTTTCAAAAAAATACAAAAATACTAATAATTAAAAAAAATGTGATCAATTGTAGCATGCTCACTGCTTTACTGCGCATCTCGTGTTATGGTCATGGCAGCAAAAGGAGTTCGTATGCTTGTTTATGTAGGGAGGCCCTTTCCCAGGATGATGGCTCACAACTGTATATTTGGGTACATACTAGTTTGAACAAGCAACAACAAAAAAACACCGCCCGCATCCGCAGTACCTAGTCCCTCGAAGATTCCGGGTTAGAATAGGTCTTCAGCAACCCATGCTTGTCGTAAGAGGCAACTAACGGGATCGGGTGGTCAGAATCGCTGACTTGGTTGATGCATATCATCGTATCCCAATTGCTTGGATCGATGCTCATGATGTCAATCACTGGATTGTCTGATCCAGACTCGATTATTTACATATCGCCATCATACTGCTGGAATATTGCTGAGTGTGGCGTTAAACAACAAACAAACAATCAAACAAAATCATTTCTGGTTTATGTAGATTAATTTGATTTTGAGAGAAAACAACTAGTCCCTATAGATGTTCACTGGTCTCAGACAATCGGGCAAGTTGCAGTGTCTATCCCAGCCTTACTGTGCTTACTGACATTACAATGATGATAAACATGACCTACAACAGTGGTAAATGTTCAGTTCCTTAAAGCACTATGTAGCTGAGATTGACAGAAAAGGTTACCTAAGCATGACATTACAACACTGCCTCTGTGGTTGGTGGATGGAACATCTGTCCGGAGAGCAGAAGGTCAAGGATCCGATCCCTGGCCATGTCATACTAAACATGGTACTTGTTGTTACCCTGCCTGGCACCTGGCTTTAAGGTGATAATAGGCTGGTCGGCTCGGAGTGGGTAAACTGTGTCTGAGTGGGGTATCCATGTTAAAAACTGCAGCATATCTCTATATGAAATCTGGACTAGTCCGGATGCACGAACATCCACGTGCCCGCAACTTGTTCTATGCATGTGCAGTAATCTTGTACATGACATTAGACCCCACTTCACCTCACCTCACCGACGTGTCAATGATTTATCTTTCCCATCGCCTGGCTCCAGGCCGGTTCATGGTTATTCGGAAATGTCGACTCAGTGAGGCGGTTGTCTGGAAGTACCAGATTACATCAGCAGTCAATAACTAGGGTGTAAATCACTGATTGGGGAGATGTCTGGGGTAGACGTAGATGAATCTGAAACATCTAACCATCCCCAAACTGCATATACTACTCTCAGCATTTAAATTTGAACCTGCAAAGATTTATTCAACCTTGATCAAACATTTTACTGAAATACTGCAGTTTTTAGAATATAACTAAAATACAAGTCAAATCCACTACTCATGGCAATACACCAGAATCAATCCTTACTAAGCCGTTATTATGGCCACTGAGCAGAGGCGTATGATAATTGAAGCTTGGAGGATGTTTAGGGGAACAGAGGCTGACCGAAGTCAAACACATACATATAATTTGTGTACCAAATGGTGATTGAGTCTGGTAGGTCTAACGTTAGAATAATTATGGTAATTTGCTGGCCCTCGGCTTCAGTTCACATAGGGCAGAGGTCAGTGTAGCAAATCTGAGTATAAGATAGGGACTCCCATTATGTATTTTAATTGTTTTTTATGTCTGCTGTGCTGATGACTCTCACCAGCCTGTGTCTTCCTGGTGGTTGTGAAAGGGTCATGGATGAGTACTGCAACACCATCATGTAGATATGCAACAGCTGGCCGACGTAATGGGTCGTTAGCGTTGGAGATCAAATGATCTGATAATGTCTTTTTGCATTGGTTTATCGGTCGTTGGTTTTCAGTTCCGCAAATGATATTCAGGTTTCCGTTGTACTGCAGCTGTAGGGTACCAGTACTCTTGTACTGCAACTGTAGGGTACCAGTACTCTTGTACTGCGGCTGTAGGGTACCAGTACTCTTGTACTGCAGCTGTAGGGTACCAGTACTCTTGTACTGCAACTGTAGGGTACCAGTACTCTTGTACTGCGGCTGTAGGGTACCAGTACTCTTGTACTGCGGCTGTAGGGTACCAGTACTCTTGTACTGCGGCTGTAGGGTACCAGTACTCTTGTACTGCAGCTGTAGGGTACCAGTGCTCTTGTACTGCAGCTGTAGGGTACCAGTACTCTTGTACTGCAGCTGTAGGGTACCAGTACTCTTGTACTGCAGCTGTAGGGTACCAGTGCTCTTGTACTGCAGCTGTAGGGTACCAGTGCTCTTGAAATGCAGCTGTAGGGTACCAGTGCTCTTGTACTGCAGCTGTAGGGTACCAGTGCTCTTGTACTGCAGCTGTAGGGTACCAGTGCTCTTGTACTGCAGCTGTAGGGTACCAGTGCTCTTGTACTGCAGCTGTAGGGTACCAGTACTCTTGTACTGCAGCTGTAGGGTACCAGTACTCTTGTACTGCAACTGTAGGGTACCAGTGCTCTTGTACTGCAGCTGTAGGGTACCAGTACTCTTGTACTGCGGCTGTAGGGTACCAGTACTCTTGTACTGCAGCTGTAGGGTACCAGTGCTCTTGTACTGCAGCTGTAGGGTACCGGTACTCTTGTACTGCAGCTGTAGGGTAGAGTACTCTTGTACTGCAGCTGTAGGGTACCAGTACTCTTGTACTGCAGCTGTAGGGTACCAGTGCTCTTGTACTGCAGCTGTAGGGTACCAGTGCTCTTGTACTGCAGCTGTAGGGTACCAGTGCTCTTGTACTGCAGCTGTAGGGTACCAGTACTCTTGTACTGTGGCTGTAGAGTACCAGTGCTCTTGTACTGCAGCTGTAGGGTACCAGTACTTTTGTACTGCAGCTGTAGGGTACCAGTACTTTTGTACTGCAGCTGTAGGGTACCAGTGCTCTTGTACTGCAACTGTAGAGTGCCAGTACTCTTGTACTGCAGCTGTAGGGTAGAGTACTCTTGTGCTGCAGCTGTAGGGTACCAGTACTCTTGTACTGCGGCTGTAGGGTACCAGTACTCTTGTACTGCGGCTGTAGGGTACCAGTACTCTTGTACTGCGGCTGTAGGGTACCAGTACTCTTGTACTGCAGCTGTAGGGTACCAGTGCTCTTGTACTGCAGCTGTAGGGTACCAGTACTCTTGTACTGCAGCTGTAGGGTACCAGTACTCTTGTACTGCAGCTGTAGGGTACCAGTGCTCTTGTACTGCAGCTGTAGGGTACCAGTGCTCTTGAAATGCAGCTGTAGGGTACCAGTGCTCTTGTACTGCAGCTGTAGGGTACCAGTGCTCTTGTACTGCAGCTGTAGGGTACCAGTGCTCTTGTACTGCAGCTGTAGGGTACCAGTGCTCTTGTACTGCAGCTGTAGGGTACCAGTACTCTTGTACTGCAGCTGTAGGGTACCAGTACTCTTGTACTGCAACTGTAGGGTACCAGTGCTCTTGTACTGCAGCTGTAGGGTACCAGTACTCTTGTACTGCGGCTGTAGGGTACCAGTACTCTTGTACTGCAGCTGTAGGGTACCAGTGCTCTTGTACTGCAGCTGTAGGGTACCGGTACTCTTGTACTGCAGCTGTAGGGTAGAGTACTCTTGTACTGCAGCTGTAGGGTACCAGTACTCTTGTACTGCAGCTGTAGGGTACCAGTGCTCTTGTACTGCAGCTGTAGGGTACCAGTGCTCTTGTACTGCAGCTGTAGGGTACCAGTGCTCTTGTACTGCAGCTGTAGGGTACCAGTACTCTTGTACTGTGGCTGTAGAGTACCAGTGCTCTTGTACTGCAGCTGTAGGGTACCAGTACTTTTGTACTGCAGCTGTAGGGTACCAGTACTTTTGTACTGCAGCTGTAGGGTACCAGTGCTCTTGTACTGCAACTGTAGAGTGCCAGTACTCTTGTACTGCAGCTGTAGGGTAGAGTACTCTTGTGCTGCAGCTGTAGGGTACCAGTGCTCTTGTACTGCAGCTGTAGGGTACCAGTACTCTTGTACTGCAGCTGTAGGGTACCAGTACTCTTGTACTGCGGCTGTAGGGTACCAGTACTCTTGTACTGCGGCTGTAGGGTACCAGTACTCTTGTACTGCAGCTGTAGGGTACCAGTACTCTTGTACTGCAGCTGTAGGGTACCAGTGCTCTTGTACTGCAGCTGTAAGGTACCAGTGCTCTTGTACTGCAGCTGTAGGGTACCAGTGCTCTTGTACTGCAGCTGTAGGGTACCAGTGCTCTTGAAATGCAGCTGTAGGGTACCAGTGCTCTTGTACTGCAGCTGTAGGGTAACAGTGCTCTTGAAATGCAGCTGTAGGGTACCAGTGCTCTTGTACTGCAGCTGTAGGGTACCAGTACTCTTGTACCCTTGTATATAAGGGAGGAGAAAAAGCCTAGGTCAATATAAGGGAGGAGAATTAGCCCTGATCGATATATAAGACAGGAGAAATAGCCCAGTCAGTATAAGGGAGGAGAAATAGTCCAGGCCAATACAAGGGAGGAGAAATAGTCCAGGTCAATACAAGGGAGGAGAAATAGTCCAGGCCAATACAAGGGAGGAGAAATAGTCCAGGCCAATACAAGGGAGGAGAAATAGTCCAGGCCAATACAAGGGAGGAGAAATAGTCCAGGTCAATATAAGGGAAGAGAAATAGCCCAGGTCAGTATAAGAGAGGGGAAATAGCCCAGTCAGTATAAGAGAGGAAAAATAGTCCAGGTCAATATAAGAGAGGAGAAATAGCTCAGGTCAATATAAGAGAGGAGAAATAGCCCAGTCAGTATAAGGGAGGAGAAATAGTCCAGGCCAATACAAGGGAGGAGAAATAGTCCAGGCCAATACAAGGGAAGGAGAAATAGTCCAGGCCAATACAAGGGAGGAGAAATAGTCCAGGTCAATATAAGGGAAGAGAAATAGCCCAGGTCAGTATAAGAGA